TTGTGAACATATCTATCAATATAGATAAGAAATACAAAAGAAATGAAGTTCGGATATACTTCCATCATCGAGATATTGAAACCCGAAAATCAACGGAAAACCGAGGTAGACGCCTTTAAAAAATATTTTCGACCCCTTACAGGTAAAATAAAAATTTCATTTTGGGCTTATTTGAAAGCCCTTGAAATTTGCTACAAGAAAGTTTTCTTCTCATAATCTAGAAAAAATTCATCCTTGAGAAATAATGAGTTTAGTTTATAAGTTACATTTTTATCACTTTTTTGGGGTGCGTTTGAGTGATTTCTGTGACCTGAAAGTTTATCACATTCTGTCTTACAGTTAAATTTTTTTCGAAAAATAAAATTAATACTATCTTGTAGCAAATTTCAAGGGCTTTCAAATAAGCCCAAAATGGAATTTTTATTTCACTTGTAAGGGGTCGAAAATATTTTTTAAAGGCGTCTACCTCGGTTTTCCGTTGATTTTCGGGTTTCAATATCTCGATGATGGAAGTATATCCGAACTTCATTTCTTTTGTATTTCTTATCTATATTGATAGATATGTTCACAAAAATTTTTGTGGATTTTTCCCATTATTAGAACCCTATAAAACAAGTGTGGCTATATACTTTTGGAACGCATTAATTTTGGGTAAAGTATCCCCTAATTATCCCCTAATTTCTATTCGTATATTTTCATAACGCATAAAATAACATTATCAGATCTTTAGAATGGGTCTAAAAAATATTTCAAATTAATCATAACCCATTTAAAAATTGAATTAGCTGGAGATTTAGAAAAAAATTGGGTGGCTATATACTTTTGGAACGGAGTGTATGTATTTTATCATCAAAAATAAATTTCTAAATATTTTTGCTCTCCTTAAACGACACACCTTTTTTATTTAAAATATTTATTTTCTTTCTTTTTAAGAATTATATTTTTTGATGATTCATTATAAAATTTCAATATTTTTCTTTAAATTTTATAAAAAAAATTTTTTCACAATTTATAAATATTTTATTTAAATATTTTATAATTCAGAAATTAATTTAATAAATATTTATTAAAAGAATAAAATGAATACTGTTGAAGGACCTGTAAGTATTCAAATAATGTAATTAAGAACTTTTAACTATTGTAAAATCACAGCTGTTAATATCTAAATTAATAAAAAAATTTAGTAAAATATTTCTTTCTACTCCCTATAATTAATTTTTCTATATACTTTTTTCAATTTTAGCCGATTCCTTTCAACTTCCCAATCCCTGGAGGTCTACAAACTGGCTCAGAAATAATTTTTCAAGGAGCTACATACAATGGAGAACGAAAACGTTTTCATATTAATTTATTGGGTGAAGGGGATAATGTTGTTTTACATTTCAATCCTCGATTTAAATTTCTTGAAGTTAACATTTTTAATCGAAAATTTAAAAGTTTAAAATAAAAATTTAAAGGATACAATTGTTTTGAATAGCAAAACATATGCTGGTTGGGGTACAGAGGATAGACATCGAAATCGTTTAAGTCTTGGAGATAGTTTTCGTATTCGTTTGGTTTGCCATCACTCTCATTTTCTTATACAAGTTATTTTTAAAGAAATTATTATAATGAAAAGATAAATATATTTAAAGGTAAATGATAAAGAAGTGGCTAATTATGAGCATAGACTTAGTCCTTCAATGGTTAGAGGACTTGAAGTAGATGGTGATATTTCTCTTCAACGTGTTCAGATGATTAACTTTCCACGACGTAATTTAATATTTTTATTGCAATTTGTCTCGGAGTTTGGGAAAGGGTAAAATTTTTCTTGGGATTAACATGTAGATGCCGGGATTCACTTAAGAGTTTAGTAAAAAGTTCAAAGATAAATAAAAAAGGATATACTTAAATATAAATAATGAACAATTTTAAGCACCAAATCCACACCCACAATATCCATATCCTTCACCATATCCACAACCACAATATCCACCACCAGCAGCTCCATACGATCCATTAATGAGTACAAGTAATCCAATGCTTACAAATATGCCCCCAATGCCACCAAATGCTGGATGGAATCCACAGCAAAGTTCTCCATATCCAAACCAACAAAACTTGAGTCCTTATCCAAACAATAATGTAAAATTTTAAATAAAAAATGTATAATATGTATGAATAATAAATGGATATATATGTAATAAATTGAAGCCATCTTTTGGAAATTTTATTTGAGTTTCTATTAAAATATATATTATAAAGAAAAAATATTATGTATAATATTATAGCATTTTTAGAAAAATAACTAGTAGTTTCGGTTCAAAAATGAGAAATAATCGAATCGAGCTAAGCTATAAAAATAATGAATAATCAGAAATAAATATTAATATTTTCTATCATTTTATAATTTAGTTACGAGGGCCTGGTTATCCTTATTGACCAACAAGTACACGTTGCAATTCTTTTGGATGTCATCGTTGTGGATATTAAAGATAATATGAATTTATTTGGAAAGAAAATAAAAGTTAAAATGTTAAAAATAATAAAAACTGAATTATGTTTTTACGTAATAGATAAACTTTTCAAACCAAGTTGATTTATTTAAAGTTTTTTAAAAATCATATCAAACAATTTTTTGTCTAAGTTTATTTTAAAATAAAAAATTAAAGTTAAAAAATTTTAAAAAATCTTGTTTTATTAGAAATCATTTATGTATTTATTTAACTTAATCATCACATTTCTTTCAATAAAGTTTGTCCAATTTAATAATATAATCATATTTTGGATTTTGTTTAAGTCCTCGAACCTTTTAAAAATTAATTTAATTTAACTTAAATATTAATTAAAAAAACAAACAGTTATATATTGAACATCCTGTGCCGGCATTTGATGTTCATAAAAATACCAATTTCCACCAATTTTATATCTCCAAATATATTTTGCTGTTCTAACAAGAATATTTAAATTAAATACTTCTCCGACATTTAAGTTTGGGAACTGGTGATTATGCCAACATTTATTGTCAAATGTCTTGTTTTGCAATATTTTATTACAATTTGGAGGCAACCATTGTTTATTCTATTTTAAATATATTAAAATATTTTGATCATATATTAAAATATGCGGGAATTGAAAAAAATATGGGGAATTAAAGATCTGTTTGTTTGGGTCCGGGGGAGTGTCAGTCATTTAACAATTAAGCTTACTGAATATGATCCAACAGTTGCATTCTCTTGCGTAATATTAAGTTGAAATATAGTTTGTCCAACTTTATAAATATTTAAAATTTACATTATTTAAATTAAAAACAAACTAAATTCATGCCATTCAAGTGCTTGATGTAAAAAACTAATTGAAATAGTTTTGTTAATTATTATTCCTTCAATAAATATTAAACTTCCATCTCTCAAATAATTATTGTCTGGGACGTGAATAATATTTAAGGGATATTTAAAAGAACTCAATAATCTTTTGCATTTTTCATTTTCTTCTCCAAATTGTATTTGGTCAATATCTCCTTTTATCTTTAGAATTAATAATATAAAATTATTTTCTAAAAAAAACTTGCCATAATCCATTCAGTTGCCCAAACTGGAAGTCTATGTTTATATAAAATTTTAGCTGCAGCTTGGTTTATTGTTATATTAAAATAATTTTCTGTTACAAAAATTTTTATAGAAAAATAAATTCCAGTTAGGCCGATCGGATTTAAATAAGTTTCATTTTCTCCCCATTTTCCTTCATTATGAATATAACTATTCATTATAAGTAAATTCTTTAATCCTCGTGTTAAATTTAATTGTTTTTTGTATATTTCAGGATCAAAAATAAATTTTAATTGCAGAACAGTATTACCAACTTAAAAATTAAATAATATACTAATTGAAAATTATTAAAATATTTAATACAATAAGTCTAATTAAAAATAATTTTTCTAATTCGAAATTATTAAATTGAATGAGTTAAAGTATTTGCAAAAAATTCATAACTCGGGATTGTTATCGTCATTATTTGCGATTTTGCAAGGTCCGGGGTTGGATTTTTAGAACTGGGCCGACGTTCGAGTCATTTTTTGGCCTCATTTTTATCGAACCAGGCCGTTTGAGTCTTTTTGACGCCTAAATTCGAGGCCCGGTTCGATCTTTCGAACAGAACCGAGCCCCCAACCATAGTCCGCTATTTAGTAATCTAACATTATGACTTCAAATGTCTCGTTAATATTTTTGTACTGTATTTAATAGTTTTAAATAAATAACATGTTTTAAAATTATTTTGTTAGGTATTCTAATAATTATCTCAGGCCTTTCAAATATTTTTTAAATAAATCCGATTTGTTCCTTATTCAATTTTTTAATTCTCACTTTTTTCGTTAATTTCATTAGCATCATTCAAAAGATTTATTTCAAATTCTGTTTTCTCTGAAGAATTTTTTGATTGAGGAACATGAGCTAACAAACAAAGAATATTCCCTTCATTTTGTAAATGTTTTAATTTATATCTATTTATTTTTGTTTTTATTTTATTATTATTTGCAATATTTGTTGGTAAATATAATCCAATACTTCCATTTATCTTTTTAAAATTTTAATTAAAAAATTTTATTTAAGAATTTACCAAAATATGTGTTATTGTTGAAATCGGGATTTCGTTTGCAGCGATATATGCCCCTAGATATTCCCCATTAAATGTAATTGAATAATTGTAAATTTTATTATCTTCATTGGATATATCAAAGATATCAATAATAAAATCAAATAAATCATTTTTATTTAATGGTATTCCATTTATTGTTATATTAGGATCCCCCTTAAATTAGTTAATAATTTTCTTTGCTAAAAATAAATTTTAAATTAATTCTCCTTTTTGATAAAAAGCCAAATATGTTAGAAAATGAATTTTCTCTAATTATTATTTAGTAAGGCACTTTTGAAATTCGGAAATTAATTCTTAAAACCCCAAACAAAAAATATTTCTAAAATAAGAATTTTTTGACTTTAAAAGTTGACTGTTGAGAAACTTTAACTTACATAATTAGATTTGATTAATAATTTTTGTTCAGTAAAATTAATTTCAACTAATAATACCAAAGCACCCACTAAATTTCGAAATATTTCTAAATTAATTATTAAATTATTACATTTATCAGTTAATTCCATTACTTCATGAAGCAAAGCAACTTCCATTTTATTAATTTTTGAATTTCTTAAAATAAATCCTCGAATTATTATTCTTGTTCCGTTTTGAATTTCAGCATTTTTCAATGTATTTATAAAAGGCGTGTTTCTTACAGGTGCTGGCTAAAAAATTGTTTTTAAATATTTTAATTTGAAAAAATTTTTTACGTAAAGCTGATTGGAAGGTCTATGAAGGCGATTTCTTCCAACTAAATGTCCAACACTAATCATTGATATCGGAACTAAATCACCAGAAATATGTACAGTTCCTTTAGTATTTTCATTAAATATTTTTTCATTAAACCAATCGCTCGGCCAAAAAGAATTTACGGACAAAAAATGTTTATCATTTTCAGTTGAAATCCAAAAATAATATGGTTGTAAAATTATATTAAAATATATATTATCTCCATAGCTAAAGAATATTTTTTCTCCAATTTTATAATTACTTGGAAGTGTATGTTTAATCCAGGAACCTTTGAACTAAAAAATAATTTTTATTTTTAATTAATTTTTTAAATAATTATAATATCGCTGGAAAATGGTGATATATTGATACCGATATTATTGAACGACTACTAAAGTCCCGTCTCTATTAAAGATGTTTTATCTAAAGAAGATTGGTAAAACAAAAATTGGAAAAGTGGGCGTAGCAAACCTATAACGAAAAACTACCTATGTATTTTCAATAAAGACCAAAAAATCTTTAACAATTCTAAAAATAAATTAAATTAACATATGTACTTACATTTTTAACATCAAAATTAATTGAATAATTAGTTATATAAATATTTAATAATAATTTATCAATTTTAAAATTTAATTTTATGTATTTTGCATTTTTATCAGGCATTAAAGCAAAAATAATAAATCTTTGTTTAATTTTGCCCAAATTAAATGTTTGATTTGTAAACCGTTTTTTACATTGCTTTTCTTGTGTTAAATTAAGTATATCTTGTTTAAATGGTTTTACAATTGAAAGAGGTGTTGTAAACTAAAAATTTTAAAAATATTTAAAAACAAATACTTTTAATTATACCCTAGCTTGTAAAGCACATGTACATCCTCTATAAACAAATAAATTAATTAATCTCCCAGCCCTAATTGGCAATAAATCTAATCCAAGTGCCCACAAACCAGAATATTGATATAAATAGGCACCTTTATTTATTTTTGAAAGAAATTCTTTATAAAGATTTTCTTCCTTCTTTTGAATTTCTTTTGCTAAATTATTTTAAATTATTTTTTTCAAAAAATATTTTAATTGCCTTCATTTCCTTCAAAAATTAAACGAGTAAATATATTATCTTTCTTCCCAAATTCTAATTTAAATGAATTATTTGATTCAAATTTATATCTAAATTTAAAATTAAAATTTAAAATACATATCCAAATAAATATACATTTCATCAGTTATTGACAAATAAATATTAACAAAAACAATTCCTTCCTTTATTTCTGTATTGATATATATTCCATGCCAAATTGAATAGCCAACATTTCCGGGAGAACAAGTTTTGTTATTTTTTGGATTATTACAAAATGAAAGCCTTTTATTTTCACATAAATCGGTTACTTTATTCTTTTGTTTTGAAAAATTAAAATTATTTTTTATGATAAACAATATATGATAAAATAATTTCCTTAATCAATTTTAAAAAATATCATGATTTAATTATTATAGAATGGAATCATTAAAAAAATAATTTTTCTGACAAATCTTGTCCGTGGAAATTATTTGAAAAATATTTTAGAGATTTAGCGATATGCTATTTAAATAATTAGATTTTTAAGAAAAATTACTTTAGTATTTATTAAACGATATGGAATTGAATTAATTGTCCCATTTTTAGAATTTTCTCCCCTCAATTGGCTTGGATAGCAAATTAAAAGTCTGAAAATAATTTTTAAATTATTTGTTTTAAAAAAATTATTTGCCCTTCAGGTTGGCAAATAAATAAAGTTTTGAGAAAAAATTCCAAAGAAAAAGAGCCAATTTCGATTTGTTCTGGTCTTAACAAGCATTGATCATAAATTAAATAGGGAATTTTGTAATGATTAACACCAATATCAGTCAACATAAAACTTTAAAAGAATTTAAATATATTTCAGAATTTAATTTAAAAAATATTTATTTATTACGTTTCTCCGTCTTTTAATTCATTTTTTGATATATTTGGTTTATCCACAATTTTTGAAGCATTTCCTTTTTGTTTGCAATTTACATAATGCAAGGAAACCACCAATAAAATAAATATTTTCTTCAAAACATTGATAATTTTGATCATATTTATTTTATTTTTTAACTCTACAAATTTAGAAATAGTTTTAGAGGCAAATATGCAATTGAGTTTTAGAATGATCTTGATCTAGACCTTGATTTTTCTTGGATCCGCAAAGTTATTTCGAGATTTCTTGATTTTTCCTTGACTAATGGTCAAGAATCTAGTCAATAATGTAAAGTTCAAGATCAGGGGTTTTTAAATTGTCAATCTCTACTAAGTATGTAATTTTAATTTGCTGATTTAATGTTTAATTCTATTTAATAAATATAAGCTAAATAATATTTTTTATTTTAGATATTTACATAGATATATTTAAAAGCAAAGTATGACTCATTTTGTAAAGCATTCAATCGTATTTTAAATAATTAATTACAAATTACAAACTAATAATATTAAAATAAAAGCAAATAATATGTAATTGAAAATTAAATAGGAAATCAAAACTTTAGAAAAAAATAATTATCTCAAAAATTTCTTAACGAGAATCGTCTTCTTCTTTTGTTAATAGATCCATTAATTTGATAAGGACAAGGATTTTTACGGATTTGGAAATCAGATTTTCATTTCTGCCTTCATGTCGGACAGGGTAAATCTGTAATTCTCTCCTGTAATAATAAATTCTGTATTTATCTAAACTCAATATCAAGCTCAAGATAATTTCCAAATTTTTAAAACTAAATTTTTAAAAACTTAACTAACAGAAAACCTTCAGCCGATTCAGTGTTTCGTTATCATAACCCGTAAATAAAGAGAAATTATTATGTTGATACTCTTTAGTCAAGGATAAGTAAATTTAAATAAATAATGTATTTTGATTTTAATAAATCAAAAAAAATTATAACAAATACCTAATTTCATTAAATTAGACCCATACACTAAATATATTTTCTCTCAATTTGTCCTACAGATTTAATTTTTTTACTTACTCCTCTAGTTCTCAAAAATAAATAAAATAAAAATCCTTTAAATATTTTTATTTTCAGTACTTTAAATTCAAAAATTGATTATTTTTCCCTATTTAATTTCTTTAATTCCATTTTTATCCGATCACAATGAGAAGCGAGCAAAAACATAAATCCATGAATTTGCGAGAAAAATAAGCGCAGAAAGTGACAATTACATTTAAAAATAAATAAATTTATAGAAAAAGAGAGTTTTTGTATATCTAATTAATTAATTACTTTTCTTTCTTTATATCTTTCCATTCAAATAATTACAAACAAAAGCTAAATATCTTTTTAGATAATTATTCGATAATTTCTTTTTTGATTAAAGCTTAATTAAATAATCGTTAAATAATTAATTAAAAATTAAATAAACTATTCAGGATTCTGAATATATATCTGAAATTTTGGAGATATTTTTTGGAGAGTCTCTGATAGGATCAATTTTTTCAACTCCCACTCTCACTTTGTTGCTATACTAATTAACTTGACTATAATTTTGATTAGTATTTTGTTAATTTTCTTTTCATTGAATACGTTATTTGTTTATTCATTAAAAATTTAAATACTCAAAATAATTATTAATTAATTTATTTTTTCTGAATTGAAAACAACAAATTAACAATGCCTCTATTATTTATCATATTTTTTCAATTAATTATAAATGGAATTAGAGCAGAGGAAAGGGCGGAAGTAGATATTAGGGTTTCCGGAGCTTGCAGTCCGAGTATTTTTTTAACTTTATTTTTCATTAAATTAAATATTTTAACGAAATAATTATAAATTTTTAACGATTTTTATGAATTATATTCGGATTATAACAGCAAGAGAATAGCTGTACTATCTATTCTAAATTTATTTTTGCTTACATACATAGTATAATTTCTGAACAATAACCAACCCCATTTTATATCCTTCACATTTATTTAATAAATTCAATAAAATAACTAAAATAAAAATAAACTTAAATCTTGCTTTGATCACTATCTAATTTAAATTTTTCAAATTTACTTAAAAAATATCAAAAAAATTTTACAAATTTTTTTCAGTTTATTTGTCAAGGAGAGGAATTGATCTAGGCAAATACCGTCCGTTAATACGTTTTAATCCGGATAAAGTACAACTTATTCCTAAAAATCCAGTAATACCTGGATGCGTTAAAATAAAAGCAGAAGGTGTTGAAATACTTAAACCTATAAAGAATTTATTTGCTGAAATAGAAATGAGAATTGGGGGAAGGTATTGTTTTATTTTATAAAACATTAATTATTGTCATACTTTCCTTGTGGATGCAGCCTAAATGCAGCTTTTTTCAGAAATATTTTATTGTTAAATCTATACACCTTTGTCTAAAAAATTTAAATTTAATTTTATAAAAGTTCTAATCTTAAAACCAAACAAATTTTAATAATATTAAGAATTATTTTTAAAGCCCAGACCCTAATAATCCAACACTTCCTTGTACAAAAAGAATAGATGACAAAGTAAATCAATGCCCCTGTGCTAAAACAGAAGGATCTTGGTTATTATTTATTTAAAAATAATTTTTAATTTAATTTTTAAGTGTTTTTTGTGATTTCTGCAGACAATTACGGGCACAACAATCAAAACTTTCTATTACAGAAACATCGAAAAGAAAATTAAAAAATAAATCTGGGGATGAAGATTCTTTAGAAGAACAGTGTAAATGTGAAACAATGCAGCCAGGATTATATGATATTGAAACAGAAATGTGTACACCAGAATTGGATGATACAAAACAATATATCCCTACTGAACTACAAAATAATGTTTTGGAAAAAACGCCCGTTTGTTTTTTAATGAAAATAATTATTTTTAAGATTTTGTTAAATTCATTAGAAGTGGAATAATTATTATTTTAAATTTAAAATATTTGAGAATTAATCAAAATTATTCTAATAGTAAGAGCGAGGTAAAAGTTAATCCCGGGCACAGGCTTCGATTTCGCGACCACCTGCTAGTTATTGCTAGGCGCTTTCGCTCACCACATACAGGTGCTTTAGCAACTGAGCTACCGGGACGCTGCTTTCACCCTCTCTTTTATCCTCCTTACATAATTAAAATTTCTTTTAAACATTTAAGTAAAAATTATTTTTATTCTTGCTTTTTAGATTTCAATGTTCATAACAGTATATTTAATGGATTTACAGACAAATCCAAACGAATCATATTTATCTGCATTTGGAAAAGCTATACTTCAGTATTTAAATAAAAAATTTAAATTATTTAAAAATATTTTTAAAGAAGAAGAATGGCACAAAGCACAGTTGCATGTTTCTTGATGGGTTTAGATGTAACCCTTGGAGTAAATGAAAATAAACAAACACAACATTCCTCTACCTCGAATGAAGAATAAAAAAATATTTTTTGAATTTATTTTTTAATAAATTACTATTTTATGTTTTGCTCTGGTTTAGGATGAACTTTCCTTGGATAAAAATTAGATAATGACCAAAAAACTTTTTGGAAGTAAACAATTTTGTAGAAATAATTTCTAAATGAGAGCTTTTATTTTTTATTTCGAATTCAATTTATTATATTCTTTCTTGTAGTTTTATTACTAAAAGTCATTAAAAATGAAATATATAACTTAAGAATCTTGTTGAATTTTCATTTTATTTTAAAATTCATATTATTTTAATCACTTCTTTTCAAGAAATTTTCAAAAAAATTGGAAAATTTAAAGCTATCCATAGGATAACATTGAAGTTGATGAGAAAGAATTAAGCGCATAAAATGCTCATTTTCAATAGCAACATTAATTAAACGAATACATTCATCCAATCTTTGAGCCCCTTCAACTAAACCTAATCTTCGTTGATTATATTGAAGTAAAATTTTTGTAAATTTAACAGATTCGTTATAGAGTTGTTCCTTTCCTTCAATGGACAAGTCTTCAGCATCTTTTAGAAAAATTAAAGTTTATTTAAATTGAAAATTAAAAAAAAACTAAAATAAGAAGACAATATGTAGAAGTCTTCATTCTTAACTTCTGAATTATTTTATGAAAAATTCTGAAATTCTTAAGGAAGTTAATATTGCTATTACGGATAGTTTAAAAGCATATATTAAAAGCACATTTTAAAGCACACATATGCCCGGCCTCCTGAAGATGCTGGTTCGCTCCCAGCCGCTGAATAACCTTTTGCACTAGCTGAAG